AGCCTACCTTGTTTTAAAGGACTTCAATTAACAATATTCAATTCAAGGATTCAAGGCTTTTATTGTCATTTGTACATAGCTACAGTGTAGTCATGACAATGAACATCTTAGGTCACAGGCTACTCCAACAGTGCAACACAATAAAACAGATAAAATAGTGCAAGTCAATATAATAGAAATAGTGCAGAATATTCTATATACAAGTCATTGGAATATTGATATATATATAAGTTGCAAACAGATGGATGTTCTTTCAAAAGTTCAGTTGTTTAACAGTCTTATGGCCTGTGCGATGAAACTGTCCCTTTTTATATAAAAGTTGTTGTAAGTTCATTTTCAATTTCGATCAACTATTTCTTTCAGCACCACTATCTCTCTCTCATCTCCCTTTGCTCTTTCCCTCTCCTTCCAGACGACAACGAGGGCAGCAGCAGCGACACAGCGCCCCTGTTTCAGATGGCGGGCGACGGCCGCAGCACGGACGACGTCACCCTGCCGCTCCTCTTCCTCTTCCACAAGGAGGGCAACATCCTGCTGGAGACCCTGAAGGAGTACCGGGAGGTGGAGGTGCTGCTGAGCGACAAAGCCAGAGACAGAGGTGTGACATGACTCCCTCACAACAAGCCTCCCTAAATGTTCCCCTCTTTGCTCCACTTATCACTCCACATTGATCACATCAGTAGAGTTATCCCTCTCTCCACTGACTGAGCCTCATTATGTTCCTGGCTTCATGAAATAAAGATGAGATGTAGGGATTCAGGCATTATTTGAAGTCTCGGAGGGCGTGACTCATTCCCAAGCTGTGGTTTATAACAGTGGATGGTTAGGAGTTGTACACCCTTATCAATATTGCATCCTCATTCTTGTATTCTTACCTCATTTGCCGATTCTCAGTGGTTGTCTGTAACGGTGCCTTTCCTCTCTTTCTTGGTTTCTTTTCTTCTTTCATAACCCTCTCCCCTTTGGATGAGCAGCAACAATATTCAAAGGCAAACCTCGTCCTGGCAGCCAGATTGAGGGCAGTAAGTATTCTCTTTTTTCTTTCTGTGCCTGTTATTCTCTTTCTGCATCCTTTCTCGTGCCTTTATCTCCATTTACCCTCGTCCTTTCCTCTCCCTCTGCCCTCAAACCGCAGGATTCGGTTTGTGTTTGATATAAAAAGCTTGCTGCAGTCACAGTATGGTCATTTATGATTTTACCCTTCAAAGCTGAGGACACGGCAGCTCTTTATGTCTGTTAATCACTAGAGGAAGCCAATAGCTGAACATGACAAGGCTGGAAAGTATGGGGGAGTATTACCCCCCGAAGCCATATAACAGTGATTTTACATTACTGTTTCTGGTGTGAGACTCACCGTTTATTTTTGATCTGCTTTACTTTATTTTAGCCTAAAATGGCTTTTGATTATCCAACGGTTTCCTGTCAAACGGGTTATAAAATGGCCAGATTCCAGAACTAATGCTAGGAAGCCTAAACAAAGGCCATAATCTTTACAAGTAACCTGGGTGTTTATACAGGATCGGATCCATAACAGCACAATAAGAGCTGATATGGATCTGGCTACATGCTTTCACAGACGAGCTGCTTCCCAAAACAGACCATTGGCCACAAACCTTGTTATTATTTTCAAATAAAGCCACCAGAATACAATAAAGACCAGATACCTTTTGCCTTTCTGTACCTACATTACACAGCCTTGAAGTAACAGTCATTGCATGTTGTCCTTGCTTTATCCCCTTGACTGTAAAGTATAATTACTTGTTCCTTAACACATATTCAATCAGGAGTTGATTTCAACTTTCCCTAACCAGATCGGTGCACAATTCACAGTATATTTTTTGCCAGATGTCATTTCACAGTTGACTCTCAATTTGGTTGTGCAGCTATGTGAGAAAGTCTTTATCCTGTGGGAAACATGACTCACCGTCAGCATCATGCTGTTACAGCTGACAACCTCACGATGAAAACGCTTCTATTTTTGCCCAAGAATGGCTAACAGGGGGCATGTTGTAAAGATGACTGACTGAGGAGGAGTATACAGGCTTTGTGTGTCTCTCACACCTCTGCTTTCTTTTTCAGGTGCAGACGTGGAAGCTGCTGAGGGGGGCTGCTTAACTGAGGCAACTACTCCCACCAATTTTGAGCCAATTAGTCAATCGCTAATTAGCACTTTGGCGCTAGACGAGATTAAACCATCACAGGAGGCTGTCAGTGATGTAGATCAAGACACTAGTCCTATGGAGGAAGCTAGTCCTGAAGAGGGAGTTGGACCAGCCGAAAAGGAAGCTAGTCCCGCAGAGGAAGCTAGTCCCGCAGAGGAAGCTAGTCCTGCAGAGGGAGTTGGACCAGCTGATAAGGAAGCTAGTCCCGCAGAGGAAGCTAGTCCCGCAGAGGAAGCTAGTCCCGCAGAAGAGAGAGCTCCTCCTACAGTGGCGGATTCGACTCAGCCCAAAGAGGAGACAGACTCTGCAAAGAGCAAGGAAGGCAAGACAGACTCAAACCAGTCAGTGGATGAACTGCTGGCTGATTGGCGGGAAGACTTGGAGGCGTTCCAGCAGATGGAGAAGGACGAGCTTTGACCTTAGGGCTCTGACAGTCGTCGGGCGTGTCGTACCCTGTGACTGCGGTGGGATCCCTCCCTGTGAGGAGGAACACGGAGGGGCCGCATCATCACCAGTCACCGGGCTCAATCTGGTGAGCTCCAAGAAAGCTGGAGAGACTGTTTCTCTTGCTCTCTGTGGACGGTAACACGTGCCAAGGCAGCCCAAACACTGCATCTCCGGACCACAAGGGAGTCCTTTTTAGCCTGGTAGATAATGGATGAGAGACCAGGGTTTTTACCTCACTTTCTCATACAGTTTCTGTTTATCTGTCATAGGAAACCCTAATGAATGACATGGGCCAGACTGTGTGTGTGTTACAGCTTCTCACTTCCACTTCAAATTACTTCTCACACTGTTGTTCTCTCTATGCATTGGTCCAACAATTATTAATTAATCCATCGACCAATTAATTTTATTTTAAATGTGATGATTATATGTGATACATTTACGTCTTTGGCCTAATCATTTGTACACATTGATGTGACTTGAGGACTTAATTCATTTGGGGTTGTGTGACTGCAGGATCTTTTTTTTATGGGTTTACGGTAGACAACGCCAAACTTGATCTTTCTGGAGGATATATGAAGTCATCTGTCTATGTAAATATGTATTTGTGGAGATATATTAATTAAAATAATATAGCGCTGCTTTGCTCAGGTTCTGGTTCACCCCACAAACAGCCTCTGGACCACATCGGGTGGAGCAGACTCCCTAAGCAGCTGCTGGGATGGATTACACGGCTGTAGGCGGCCACAGGGGGGCGCTATGAGATCTGTCTGTCATGCTTAGCTGCTGACTGATTGGAAGGAGCAGAAATAAGCCATTAAGTTAACGTGATAAAATGTAATGAAATAAAAGATTAAGAGGGAAACTGGGAAGTCTGGCTTGGTTATTTGTCCTGTTTTTACACTGGATGTTTAATTTAGTTGTTAAAGTTGATAAAAAAAACAATGTATTGAAGGAGATTCAGGATTTTAGATGTAGACATGGCTGAATCAAGGTTCAAGGTTCAAGGTTCTTTATTGTCAAACTAACATAGCTACAGAGTAATTATGTCGTTGACAATCTTATGTCACAGGCTTCTCCAACAATGCAACATAATAATAATAATACAGATGGTAAAAGTAATACAAAAAGAAAAATAGTTCTAAAATAAATGTTCTTACTGAATGTTATACCACTAGAAGGGATTTAAAAGTTGCTCTAATATATCATACTGTTTAGCATCTCTTTTCTGAGGAATTTTTGAGGAAATGCCTTTTATAAGAAAGCGGAATAGATGAATGAGAGGTAACAACTATTTTTAAACCAGTTATTTTCCAAGAATCATGTTTCTATAAACAGTGGGTGTACACCCACATAAAATCAGTTCAATGAACATGACATTCTCAGTATGCACAATATAATTACTTTCAAACTGATTACAGCTGCAGTGGAAGAAGTGATTATATATTTTAATTAAGATTAACAGAAGCTATATTCAGTTACAAGTGAATCCCTGCATTACAATTGCACTCCAAGTATCCAGACTAAAAACAGTTGTATCTATTGGGATTATTATTACGATGTATACATTGCCATGTCTGCCCTTTAATATTACACCTGTTCGAGGTGGAGACACTTTTCCCTAAATTGTTAAAAAAGCATAACACATAATTTTGTCTCAGATATTGCACTGCGTTTTACTGGATCATTTATTTCTGTGACCAAAATAAACTCAGGTCCAGCAGTACATTTTAAAAACTTGTAATATTTTATGAAGAAAAGTTGAAATATAGCTTTTTTTTGTGTAAATGTATCTTTAGACATTGCACTGCATTATGATTTGGAATTACTACGATTCCGTGGTGGATCACTTTTATTTCTTGGAGAAAAATAAGACTCAGTAATTTCCACCAATACTTTACATTACTATATTAAAGTGACTCCAAACATGGAGCATTTTATGAAGAAAAAGTGAAATATAGTCGATTGTTTGTCAAAATATCTTCCGATATTGCCCTGCATTATGTATAGGAAATATTAAGATCCTGCGGTTGAAGCAGTCATTTACACTATATTAAAGTTACACTAGTGTGGCACCAAACATTAAGTGTTCTATGAAGAAAAGGTGAAATATAATCAATTTTTGTTAATGGGTTTCCTTCAGATATTGCTCTGCATTATGCATGGGAAATACTAAGATATCGTGGTGAAACACTTTTATTTCTGGGACCAAAATAAGACTTAGATCAAGCAGTGATTTACAGTATGCCTATATTAAATTGACACCAAGTGACACTAAACAATAAGTATTTTATGAAAAACATGTGAAACATAGTCCATTTTGTTAATGGGTTTCCCTCAGATATTGCTCTGCATTATGCATGGGAATGACTAAAATCTCGAGGTGGATCACTTTCATTTCTGGGACCAAAATAAGCCTCATGTCCAGCAGTGATTGGTGAGTTGGTGGGGCACTCCTCAGCAAGATGGCTGCATTGCTGCGCGCAATAGTGGCATCCTGGTGAAATGACGCAAGCCACAGTTTACGTTCAGTCCTTCAGGCTGTGAGCTCTCCGGTCTCCATAGCGCAGATCCCGCCCGACTCTCAGCCGGAAGACCGACCGGCTATCCTCCAGTGGACCGAGCGGACCCGGTTCATTTGAGTGAGTAACACCGTGAATTACTAGTTAATCTTCTCCCAGAGGTGTCATATATCCCTGGGAGTAAACCACGCCGCTGCCTGTGGTTTCTTTCTCTCTTTACTGCTCTCTTTTGTTGTTGTTTCCTGAGTGTGCCGTGATTACCCGGCGCTTTCCTTCCTGCACACCGCCGCTTCGCATGTATCGATGTTTTGTTACTTGGCGGTGCAGATATATCTCATAATTTCACGGGCGATACGAGAAGCAAGAGGGCTTCAAGTGGGATGTGTGAATTTCTGGGGGTTCAGTAAGTGTATGTGTGAATGTGCCTCGCTTGGCTTGGACAGCGTTGGCTCAGCATATTTGAAATTTTCCACACATCCTGGTCTGCTTTGCCACCCTGTCCCGCTGCTCCCTCCCTCCCTGCTGCCGTTGTAGGGCCGTCTTTCGGGGGGGGAAACACTTCTGGTGGAGACAGTTTCTGGAAATGAAACTATGTGTACACACAGGGACACCGTTTGCACTACCTCTCCCAACAACCCTGCCTCCCCCTGTGGGGAACAAAGCCCCCAGTGTCTCCCTGTAGCACAGCTGGACACAGCTGTTGAGCCGAGGTGTAGCTCCAGGAGCCCCAGGACGGAGCTCTGTGGTGGGGCCAGGAGCTGTAGCTTCAGCCCCAGGACGGAGCTCTGTGGTGGGGCCAGAAGCTGTAGCTTCAGCCCCAGGACGGAGCTCTGTGGTGGGGCAAGGAGCTGTAGCTTCAGCCCCAGGAGGGAGCACCGTTTTGGGGCAAGAGCTACTGCTGCTACTGCTTCTGTCCAGCATGTGTGCCTCCCAGCTCCCAGAGCATTTCAGGATATAAACCATTGCCTTCTGCTGATCACCACACATGCATTTCGAAAAACAAGGAATTACTCGAAGGCAGTCTGTTGCTCATTATTGCCTCAGAGGGAAGACAGGGAGCTGCTTATAATGGTACAGCCACAGCAGCCAGAATTAGATTTGATACACAGACTCATTTGCAACTCATTAACTAACACTCTTCTTCAAATGTATCCTTCCCCACTTCCTCAGACAGTATTATACACACAGCAGCACCAAAAAGACTGGATAACTGCTTTCCTGGCTGCTGCGTTCAAATGTTGCCATATGGCCATTAGCTACTGTAGATTTCCCCATGTGATCAACACCAGGCCATTACATCCATTTGGTGTCTGTGTGCAGCACCCTGGTGTGAAAGTATGTTGGTGTGGCCAGCATTACAGCACGGAGCATGCTGTCACCAGCAGCTTACATCAGGGTTTTATACTGTACACGAGGTGACGATCATCAAGTAGCAGCAATCCTGTGAGTGGATGTTGCGAGACCCCCCCCTCCCTGCTTGATTTATCTCTCTGTCCTCATCCATCTGCCTGCCTCACTTGCTCATCACATAGTGTGTATGTGTGTGTGTGTTCATGAGTCCCTGCTCACATATGGCTTTGGGTTCCGGTGGCTAGCAATAGAGACTGAACACACACACCGCCTCACTCTTCTGTCTCTTTCTCCGAGGCAGGAGGGTCTATTCTTAGTCCCTCTTCCTCATCCCCTCAATCATCTTCACCATCATCTTGGCGTCCAGATGGTTCACCTGTGTGGCCCCCTCACCTTGAGCTGATTAACAGCGGGTCAGGTGATTGCTTGGCCCCATGTTTGTGTCGTGATGTAAAGCCTGTGATGTCATTGGTGAGGATGTGGAGGGTTTCCATGGTTACCAGGGTGTCTTCTGTGTGTTTGTGTGTGTGTGTGTGGGCGTGGGAGGGAGTTCCCATGACTGTGTCTTACATCCAGCTTGTGTGTGCTCTGCCTTGCGTTGCATGCTCCGAGTAGCATTCAGTGCTAGTGCTGTCAGGTGTGATGAGGTAGTCTGTATTGCAGTGCCGAGAAAGCACAAGGCCAGCATAACACGATCCCTCCGGGTTCTGTGTGTCTGTCACTTTGACTGAGAGGCCGATCGGTTTGCCCTACCTGACTGAATTTTCAAAGCTCAAGCAGCAAACGTTGCAGCATGAAAACTAAAAGCTGCACTCTGGTTGGGATGCAGGATAAGGATTTATTTTCAGACAATACTGACAACGAAAAATGACCTGCTCATCATGGCCGATACTGATCAGATGACCCATCATTTCCCGTTATTGTATTTTAAACAGAAGCTTATAACCTGTAGTTTCTGCACAGTAAGGGTAAGAACGGCTAAGATAGTGAGTAAAGGTGGATTATTCAATACTCCATAACTCTAATCAAATTTAACTGACATCACTATAGTTTTCACAACCAATCAAAGAACAGTTCTTACTGTTTACATGTTCTTCATTGTCTCTAGTTAATAACAAAACATGCAAAGCAATTAGCAATCCTGTTTTCTCGCTGGGACACCTGAGGCCTGTACTACGAAGCTGGTTCAACCTAACCTGGATATGTTTGAGTTAGCCGGTTGGCCCAATCCAAAACATACGCGCTCTGGCTAAGCTGTACTACGACGCTGGATATCAAGTGGATCGCTCAAGCCAGCCGTGTCCTATCTAGTTAGGTGCGCGTTCACATAAAAGGGGTGGTATTTGGAGCATTCGACCAATCTCAAACATGGACAAGCGTACTGACAGCGCAGCGTCATACTTCCTGAATGAAAAGTGAACTTTAATATTAGTCAAATATGAAGAAGTTAAACTTTAAACATCCTTAAACACTTTATCCAGGATAAAAGCCACATAGCTGCACCTGCAAGGTGAATACAGCTGGTAAAAGAAAAAGCGTTTGAATGCGTACATTAACAGGTTTATGATATCACTCCCCCGTCCAAGACACGAGTGGATCTGACTTTAATTACATTTGACTCGAGTGTTTCGTCAACTTAATGTGTTGCTTAAAATAATACTTCTGCATACAGTATGTGACACTGTGAGTGTTGCACGGCCAGATACGGCTCAAGAAGCTGACTCAGATAAGGAAATATATGATACATTATGATGTGATATGATATGAATGATAATGGGACACATCGACGTCTGCACTCACAGTGCCGCGGACTGTACTTAATGTTACTATGATCCGGTTACTTATGTCGTGGCAGATATTTAAGTAAGCTTTCTTAACGCTAATGTTATAATAGTCAGATTGCTCTGAAGATAGGAGGGGATATTCTATTAATTTTCACGTTCACACAGTCAGTTGATTTTGGCTGGCCGTCTTTCCTGCAACGGCAATTTCCTCTATCCTGTAATATGAATTGATCGCTTTAAACTCCGCACACGGAGCTCTGATTGGTCAGCAGGCGGTGCTTTCACTGAGTTGATCTCTTAGCCTGCAACCTAACCTCCTCCCGAGGAGGTTAGCCGCTCAGCATAAGTTACCATGGAGATCTAGCCCGCTAAAAAGAGAACCAGCGTCGTAGGACCGGAAAGCCCGAGTTTTCCCTGAAGTCAGCCGGCTAAGCGAAAATCCGGCTTCGTAGTACAGGCCTCTGCTGTTGTGCTGGTTCTTGTACTCTTTGCAATGACAATAGAGTTGAATGTAAACAATCAAAATGTCAACATCAGCGACTAACTGCTTGGCTCTCTAGTCAGGGTGGTGCATTTAGTTCTGCTTCTTCTTCTCTGTGTTTATTGGCAGAGCAAACACTAACTGTAAAGAGGCATATTGTCAGATACTTTATCAGAGCGTGTAGATGCTGCACTTTACGTTAAGATAATGAAAGCAATTTGGCTTCTGCAGGTCGCCGAACAGCGCTAACTTCACTATGGGAACATTACATCATATAAATCGTACTTAATTGTACACTCATTTATATGCCTGATAGATTTTGTGCATCCCTGCTGGTGTATTTATCATCAGCTCTGTTACTTCTGGTTAGTGTGTCTGCATTGCAGTCTACGTGCAGAACACTGTGGATGTGGTTTGTTTCCTCCATTGGTCTGCCTTCTGACAGCTCGCCTTGACTCAGCATGGGTTGGCCGTGCAGCCTTCATGCATGCTTTGTGTGTTTGCCTCCGTCTCATGATAAAGCAGCGCTCTGTGTCCCTGCCTGTGTTTACAGTGCACTTTGTGTTCAGAGTCCAGTTGGGACGGGACATGGAGACAGGGTTCACTGCTGATTTAGCTTGCCAATTCTTTTTTTCCTTTCTTATCTCTTATTCTCACTCTTGTATTGCTGTGTGAATCTCTGCACAGTGTTTTCCCTTCAGATGGCATGCATCGGTTTCCAATCTGCACCGTAGATAAAATGGTTTCTGATAGCATCACATGATTCTTGTTAATGACAACTGCAATGTTGGACTGATGTGAGAAAATAAATGGACCGTTCAACCTCCAATTACAATATATTTAATAGTAAAATAAGTGATAGGGAAAATAAATAATGCTGCTGTCTTTGGTTGGGTATTGGTTATTGGTGCAAAACACTTTAATTCTGTTTTGTGCACAAACACTATATTACTTTGTGACATTTAATGTGTACATTTTGCCTTTCTACTCAAGATATGTTTTACCTTAGAAGAAAATAAGACATTGCAGGAACTAAATATGTTGTCATTTAAATGTATCTTGATACCTCAACATTGATATGAATTCAGGTTAATAGCTATGATAGTGATCAATGTTGACTTTAAACATCCACCACTATGACTGTCTACAGGGAAGGGCAATACTTCAGTAAGCCTGTTGTTTATTGACTTCCAGGTGAACCATATAATAATACAAATGCTAGGGCTGCAACTAACAACTGTATATTTGTATTTATACTTTATATGCAATCTATCTGCTGAGTAATGTCTCGATGAATAAGACAGAAAACAGTTTTAAAATGTCTTTAATGCCTAGTTTAAATGTCATGCTTTTTCCGATCAAAACAACAACACATAACAGACTGTTAGCTTCACACTGATGACCCTGATCTCGTGATCTGACCCAGCATGTTTAAGCAGCTTCAAGCATGTTTTATGTCATTATTTTCAACGATAGTGAAGCATTTTTCTCTTGTTGCTTTTTTC